TGAACCGTTAGAGGAGCAAGTAAAAGTTGATATTGTTGAAGTTTCGGCGATCATACGCTGAAGGTCTTCTTCGGTTATCTGAACCGTTCGAGGGGGGGCGGAAGTAGGCCCCCAGAGAGTCGATGACCCATGGCGAGCAAAATATTTTGGGGCACTATAAACCCCCAGGGAGTCGATAACCCTTGGCGAACGAAATATTTTGGGGGCAGATGTAAGCCCCTAGGGAGTCGATAACCCTTGGCGAGCGAAATGTTTTGGGGGCACTGTATACCCCTAGGGAGTCGATAACCCTTGGCGAGCGAGATATTTTGGCGGCAGAGGTAAGCCCCCAGGGAGTCGATAACCCTTGGCGAGCGAAATATTTTGGGGGCAGATGTAAGTCCCCAGGGAGTCGATAACCCTTGGCGAGCGAAATATTTTGGGGGCAGATGTAAGCCCCCAGGGAGTCGATGGCGGTGGTGCCATAGGTGGCTCCACATGTGGAGCAAGTGCTAGTATCGCATTGGGAGCATTTGCTCCCATCGTGGCGATATATTGGGTCACGGCCTCTATGGCAATGCGAGTTGAAGCTTCTGTTATCATGCGTTGAAGCGCATCCTCGGTTATTTTAACCATTCGAGGAGTAGGGGGTAGTGGATCGGCGAGTGGTGGGTCCCGAGGGGGGATCACCTGAACCTCGCGAGGCGGATCCATGGAACGTGGAGGAGGTGGCAAGCCAGAGCCTCCACGAGGTGCGAGGTCGTTAGGTGTGTCATTTTCTCTCCGAGCAGACGCCTCAGAAGGATCTTGTTGGCTACGTGATCTGGTTTGCATCGTTCCCACAGACGGCGCCAAAATGATGATGCTAATTATTTAGATCACCTCGGGTGGTGTAGAAAATGAACTAAGAAAGCAAATCAGTAGCTTGACAACTTGATGATCCTGAGGTACCTGCGATCATAGAACACATGAACTAAGCCGGGGGTTGATCCGGCGGAAACCCCTCTGACGCTCAAGCTAGACGTGCTGATCATAGAAATAGTCCAGAGAATACAATTAATAGTATTGCTCAGATAATAGGACATACCTTAAGGAATGAGTTCAAACCTTTATTTATAGCTTAGTTGAGATTGTCGGGCCCAAACCTTACTTGAAGGTGATTGGGCCTTGGTGATAGTAGTCTTCGATATTGGGCTCGTGGCCCAGTAGATAAATAATTTGTAGGCCCATTTGGGTTGGGTCAACTAGGCATATCATATAGATATATATATATATATATATATATATATATATATATATATATATATATATATATATATATATATATATATATATATATATATATATATAGTGAAGATTTCAATAGGCTTTAAAATCAGTGTGTGTAACTTATCGTCATTATTAAGTTTTAATTGGAATTATTGCTGGTATTTTCGTTGGATAGGGAATACCGTCATTCGTGACGAGAGTATTCCGCAAATCAGTGCCAATTGAAATATTTTAATGTTTCTCAAAAAAAAAAAAAATATTTTAATGTGGAGTTGGACCATACATTTAGTTATTTACATTTAGGGGTTATTTTACATACCCCTAGCCACCAAATAAACTAGGGATAAACCCAAGCCCAAATCATCCTTTGACATACCCCTGAGGACGCGAAAGTACTATACTACCCTTATGTGCAATTTTCGGCCAAACTGCATTCAACATTTATGGTCATGCATTTATCATTTTCGCTGATTTATTTATTATTATTATTATTTTTTCTTTTTTATAAATCTGTTTGTTAAATATATATATATATATATATATATATATATATATATATATATATATATATATATATATATATATATATATATATATATATATATATATATATAAAAATATATATATATATATATATATATATATATATATATATATATATATAAAAACATATATGTATACAGTACTGAAAATAACTAC